CTAAAATAGTAATAATTAATAATAATAATTTGGGTTTTGGGTTCTGGGCCAGCACGTGGCATGGTGGTGGGCTACCCTGTGGCTGACTACAGTTTGATTCCTAGACCTGGCAGTTCGAAAATCACATCTGGCTAGTGTGTGTGTGGTCACTGCCCCATCAAGGGGGTGATTTCTCCCTTTCTGTCTCTCTCTGTCTCTCCAGCGATTGCAAGCACCCTATAGCAAAACTCTAAAAAAATAAAAAATAAAAAAAAATAACTCTGGACTCCCACGTGGTTATCCGTGGTTCAAGTCCTAGACCTGGCAGATTGAAAAATCGCATCTGGTGCGTGTGTGTGTGTGTGTGTGTGCCCAAAATCCCAGGAAGAGAATGGAGAAGGGTTTGAGGTGTGACCAACCCTCAGGGGGTGATTTCTCACTTTTCTTCTCTTTCTCTTTGTCTCTTTTTATGGGAGAGGTTTTTGCACTAGGGTACATGTGCACCCCAGAAAGTCAGAGAGAGACAGAGCAAAAAGTCATCCCCCGGGGGGGGTGGCCACGCCACAATCCCTTCTCCTCCATTCTCCTCTCGGGATCTTGGGCACACACTCACACGCATCCGGCATGAGTTTAAGCCACCAGGTCCAGGACTTGAACCACGGTCAACTACATGGGAGCCCAGCGACATAGCCATTACGGTAACAGCTGGTCCCTCTTTCTCTCTTTCTCTCTTCTGAGTGCTATGGCAAAAACCTTTACAAAATAAAGAAATCTAAAAACCAAAAGCCACAAAACAATTTGGGTTCATCCCCTGCCTACTGAATCTTTAATATCCACCACCGCGCCCCGTGCCTGAAGATTTATGTGTGGCGTGAGTCATCGCAACAGCCGCTAGCTCCCAGAACAGCGGGCTTTCTTGGTAACTATTATAATCATTAGTAGCGCTTTGTCATCACAGTCAATGATACAATCTCACAGGCGGAGAAGCATACGTGAGCTGGGTTAGGAGCTTGGTGCATTTCCTGCCAGATTTTTCATAGACGGAGATGTAAGAATTGTTGGCTTGTTTTGTTTTGTTTTTGTGTGTGATTGCAGTGGAGAAAGAGCGAGACAGAGAGAGAGAGAGACAGAGAGAGGGAAAGGAAGAAAGAACCCTTCAAAGGGATGGCCACACTACAATCCCTTCTCCTGGGATTTTGGTCATGCACACACCTTGCACCCGGCATGATTCTCAACCTGTCAGATCTGGGACTCGAACTGTAGTTGACCATGTGGGAGTCCAGCGCCTTAACTACAACGCCACCCATTGGCTCCCTCAAAATCTGTTTTAAGACAAGTTCAATTCTCTCAACCATATTTAAAAAAAAAAAAAAAAACCTATTTATTTATTTATTTATTTATTTATTGGAGAGATTTTCGCTATAGGGCGCGTCCGCTCACCAGACAGACAGAGAGAGACATAGAGACAGAGAGCGAGAAATCACCCCCCAGGAGGAATGGCCACGCCGCAATCCCTCTTCTCCATTCTCCTCTCGGGATCTTGGGCATCCACACACACGCACCCGGTGTGTGAGTTAAAGCCACCGGGTCTGGGCCTCGACCCGTAGTCGACTACATGGGAGTCCAGCGACATAGCCATTACGCTAACTGCTGGTCCCTCTTTTTTTTCTTTTTCTTGTAGGTTTTTGCCTTAGGGTCTGTGTGCTAGCCAGAGCCGGAGACAGAGAGAGGGAAAGTGAGAAATCACCCCCGGGGGGATGGTCATGCTGCAATCCCTTCTCCTCCAGTCTCCTCCCGGAACCTTGGGCACGCACACACATGTACTTGGCTTGAGTTTTAAGCCACCAGGTCCAGGACTCAAATGGGGTGGGCCATGTAGGAGTCCAATGACGTAACTTCTAGGCCATCTGCTGGCCCCCCTGATTCCTTTTATTTTTAATAAGAATTATTTCATTTTGGGGTTGGCAGGTGGTGTGGTGGTTAAGGGTGCTGGACTCCCACATGGCCAACTGTGGTTCGAGTTCTGGACCTGGCAGCTTGCTTTCTCACTTTCTATCTCTCTCTTTCTCACTCTGTCCCTCTCTGGTCAAATTAAAATATATAAAATAAAGGGACCAGTGGTTAGCGTAATGTCTCTGTCGCTGGACTCCCATGTAGTTGACCACGGTTCGAGTCCCAGACCCAGCGACTTAAATTCAAGCCGGGCATGTGTGCATGCGTGCTCAAGATTCCAAAGGGAGGGAACCAGCAGTTAGCGTTTAACAGCTATATCGCTGGACTCCCACGTAGTCGACCGCGGTTCGAGTCCCAGACCCAGTGGCTTAAAACTCACTCCGGGCGCGTGTGCGTGCGTGCCCAAGATCCAGAGAGGAGAATGGAGGAGAAGGGATTGCGGCGTGGCTGTCCCCCCTGGGGGGTGATTTCTCGCTTTCTGTCTCTCTGTCTCTCTCTGTCTTTCTGGTGAGTGCACGTGCCCTATAGCAAAAACCTCTCAAAAAAATATATATATAAAATAAAGTTCAATAAAATAATTCATTTAAAAAAGAATCATTTCATTTTATTTCTTGTTATTATTATTATTTTTAACATTTGACCAGAGACAGAAAGGCAAAGTGAGAAAGCAAGCCTCCAGGTCTGGGACTCGAACCTCTGTCGGTTCTGTGGAAGTCCAGTACCCTTAACCATCATACCACCTGCTGGCCCTATTATTAATACTATTTTAATTTTTTTTCTATAGGGCATGTGCACTCACTAGAGAGGAATAGAGACAGAGCAAGCCTCCAGATCCAGGACTCGAACCATGGTCAATCATGTGAGAGTCCAGCACCCCAGTCACCATGCCTCCTACTGGCTCCAATATCATTGTATTTATTTTTTAAGGTTTTCTTTTTTCATTTATTTATTTTAATTCCACCAGAGAGAGAGAGACACAGAGACAGAAAGTGAGAAAGCGAGCTGCCAGGTCAGGGACTTGAACCCGTCATCAGCCATGTGGGAATGTCCAGCACCTTAACCACCATGCCACCTGCTGGTATCCCAACATTATTTTTTGAGAGGTTTTTGCTATAGGGCGCATGTGCTCGCCAGACAGACAGAGACAGAGAGACAGAAAGTGAGAAATCACCCCCCAGGGGGGATGGCCACGCCGCAATCCCTTCTCCTCCATTCTCCTCTCGGGATCTTGGGCACGCACGCACACACGCCCGGCGTGAGTTTTAAGCCACCGGGTCCGGGACTCGAACTGCGGTCGACAACGTGGGAGTCCAGCGACATAGCCATTACGCTAACTGCTGGTTCCCCAGCATTTTATTTTAAGAACATCAAAATCAGTGCAGAAACCGTGCACATTCTTCCAGCTGACTCCCTTTCCCACACCCCTCCACCCTCTGGGAGCCACCGCAGAATGGAAGCGTGTGTTTGGGAAGTCAGGGAGGTGAGCGGCCAGGCACGTCCTCGCAGCCACTGGGGCCCTCGCGGGCGCCTGGACCCACCGCTCCGGAGCCCCACCCAGAGCGCAGACTTGACTCGGATCCGCCTAGACCGGGGAAGAGGAATAGAAAGGATTTCGCTTTTCCTTTTCTCTCTTTTTATTTCTGAATTTTCCCCATTTCTCTGCAGTCCCAATGGGGGAGGGAGATAATCATGTCACTCTTTGAAGAAGAAGAAGAAGAAAAAAAAAAATTCCCAAATGCAAATAGACGGAGAGGGACGTCGCCAGGCGCCCAGGGCGCGCTGGAGGCGGGCTGCGGATGGGGGTGGTAGGGGCTGGGACTTGAGGCGCCAAGTTATTCTGGTCCCTCCGCGCCTTGGCAGCTGGAGAGCTTTTTATAAACAGGACGAGCACCCCCACCCCGCACCCCAACCAGCCCAGCCTCCTGGGAGGGGAGGATGGAGGAAAGCTGGACTCTCTTAGAGGATCCGATGCCCCTAGCACGATCCAAAAACCGGAGTCGAGGGGGAAGAGATCCAGAATAGGAGCCAGAGTCTCCGGCTTCTTCCTGCACCCCAATTTTTTATTTTTATTGGGGGACAGCAGTAAACAATGGAGCATCTTAGCACCCCGTTCCAAGACCCCATTCTCTGGGTCTTGCTTTCCCAGGGTGGAAGAAGGGGGTCTCCCAGCCCCAGGGTGTTTTTTGCACCAGAGCAACGAAGGGCTGGGAGCCTCGCTCGAACCCTCCCTGTTTCCTGGGTCTTTTGCCGCCAGCTTTGAGGGTTCGGGGACAGGTCGCTTCTCTTCCCCTACTTCGCCTCGTCTTCCCATTTTTTCTCTCGGTAATGGGGTGCAGGTGGGGTTGGGGGGGAGATTCCTGGAGCATCTTATCAACCCTTTTCTTTTTTTTCTGGAAATTGGTGGGGAGGGGTGGTTTTCTTAACCTCAATATGTTTCTTTTTCTTGCTTTTTTTTTTTTTTTTTAAACCTCGGAAACGCAGAGGAGTTGAGCCTCCACCAGACGGGACCCCTCTGGGGGTCGTACGCTTCGGGAATTGGACGACGATCTCTCTTGACCCTATTTCCCCTTTTTTCTTTTAAACTCCATAAATAGGAAGAGGCGTGGAGCATCTCTCGGGTCCCTTTTTCCTTTAGGGGGAGTATTGAACGATAGTCCCAGGACCCCCCCCTCCATCAGGCAGGGGCCGAAATCCCAGACCTAGGGTGGGCACGGGCGAGGAAGGGAACCGCCCCCCAAAGACCCAGGCTGAGCCAAGGCCGCAGCCTCTTGGTCCTTCCATTGCCTGGGAACCACCATTGGACAGGAGGAGGGAGTTGACGACCGTTAATTGGCTACTCAATCCGTCAGTCGTAAGTTTAAGCCAGTGAGAAGGCGCCAAGCGGCCCCGCCTCTCTGAGGCTGACAAGAGGTGGAGTCAGCGCCTGTACCGCCCCCGCCCCTAAGGAACGCTCAAACGGAGCCACGCCCCATTCGAATGTCAATCTGCGCAAAAGTTCCGCCCCTTCTGACTCTGCGTGCGTCCATAGGTTATCTCTCTAAACAAGACCCCGCCCCTGTAATGCGTCACGGCGCCGCTGCCGCTGCCCAGCAGCCCCACATCAGCTCCCCGGGGTCCCTCGTCACTGCTGTTGCCAAAAAACTCGCCGCGTCTAGATCGCAGCCGCATCGGTGTAGGCTAAGGTGAGCGAGCGCCGGGGCGACCAGATGTGCTCTCCCTTCGAGCACCTGCATAACCTTCATTTGACTGAGGGGCTGTCGAAGGTGGGGGACGAGGTTGGCCGGGATTGAATGGGGGATGCGGCAGTCGCGGCGGGCCGGGAAGGGGTAAGGCCCGGTACCCCCTACTGGCGGGGTCCTTACCCACCCCCCCCAAACCCCACGCGCTG